TGTTATATTGAATCATCAGAATTGTGCTTCAACCGATTGTCAGGAGGTTTGAAGGTTAAAAAAAAAAAAGAGGATATAAAAATGTTATATTTGAGTTTTTTTTTAAGTATAAAAGAAAAATATTGAAAACGTTGTAATACCACAATTTAAATAAATATAAAAAGATAAATTTTGAGAAATGACACTTTTCAAAAATGCCATTTTTTCAAAATCTTTGCAAAAATGGCACTTTTTCAAAATTATTTACTCATTATATCATTTATGTTTGGATTAACTATGTTGTATTAGTGGTACACCAAAAGTGGTATTTTGCAATTGTCCCTATAAAAAATCTTAAGTTTTGATACATATAAAGTAAAAAATTAATGGTGACATTATTCATAAGTTGTAGAACAAAATATATGGGCAATGATATATGATCTTTATGTAAAAATACACGTAGTTCTACACCAAAATCCAAGAAAAATACATATTTAATAATTTAATATTTCAACCAATGCTTTTAACCAAAAAAATCTAGAAAATATAATTTTAAAATGTTTAACAAAACATAAAAAAATATTATGTATAAATTAACTTTCTATATATTAATGTCTTACGAAAAATGACAAAAGTAAATATATTGATTTATGCGTTGCACGATTATAGTTAGAATATGTTTGAAGATTTGGATGGAGCTATATTGCAATAAAAGAATATAATAATAAGTTTTCAAAACCTAAAAAATATTTATTTAAAATCTTATATTAACCATATGATATAAGATTTTAAATAATATTAGAATGTGTTTATGAATGTAAAAAGATATTTATATACTAACATAAATACTTACCAATACACACTATACATGATATATGTACAAAATAGGAAAACAACACAAGAAAATCAAAAAAAACGAGTCCAACCCTAGTATAAAAATAATAGTGAGTTAAAATTTGTTTACCATGTTAATCTAAAGTAATTAATTGCTAGAGAAAACAATAGGTAAAAGAGGCATGAAAATTAAAGGCAGTAGAACATGATTCGGAAAAAAGGTTTATCCAGATATTCGTCGGAAATTGGTTGAAAAAAAGAACGATTGACAAACAAAAAAAATTAAAGGGAGAGAGATACCATGAAAAAATAGAACGAAAATAAATCTTTAACAAAAAGAGAAATAGAATGAAAACTGAGATGATTATGTTTTCGGTATATTGATGGCGATTCTGAAAATATATATGAGCAATTAAGTTGCAGTTTCTCCTTGAATATAGGAAGTGAGGATCGTGGGAGGTTAAGGTGGAAGGCGTTAGATAATTT